TAAATTTATCCGAAAATAAAACACCAGGGGACCTAAAATTAACTGCGAACATTTTAAGAGTAGGGTTTTGAAAACTTTGACAAGTTTTGATGCGTCAAACATTTTTAACTGATCACTCGATTTTTGCTGATTTGTACCTTCGCTTTATATCAGGTAAACATCGTTGTCAAATGGATTTTTTTCTACCGCGTACGTTTTTTGGTTTTCTAATAGAGCTATTAAAGCACGCAAATGACGTCACAGCAGTTCGTTAATAGCGGAAAGGCGTTCTTTAATAGATCTGGTGTAATTTAGATCGGTAAGATTGGTAGCCATGACGAGAAATGTCAGTGGCAAATGTCAAATTAAAATTTCCTGTATTTCCGGAGGCGTAAGGACTTCACTAACTTCTTCACAAGACATTTTAACCAATTTTAACTTACAAAAACTCGAATTGATTCGAATTACAGTTGTTGTTGTGAAAATTCGAACCTCAAATATTTCGTGGTTAGTGTCAGATCAACCCATCATCAACCGCGACAAAATTCCCCAGATTTAAAAAAGTGCAAATTTCAATTAAATTTTGTGAAAAAACGTGCGCGGTAGAAAAAATAGTATAAATTATTCATTGTGGCACTCATCCTTTATGTAAACTTGGATTCGGGTCTCAATATTTGCCATATGAAACTCGTTCTTTAATATACTATTATCAAGTTATTACAAAAACAACACAACCATATCTTTGTACATTCTAACTGAAATGATAATTAACCATGGTCATGGACGAGAGAAATATTGACTTAAAGTTTTATTACTAGTTGATGTGATAATGAATGTGTTGTTCAGTTGTTAAACGTAGCAAAAGAACCAATTTTAAAATCACTATAACTCCACCAAAATGTGAGAAGGAATTTTTTACTATTTTTTCCAGACTCACCAGTTGATTATTAAGAGCGGAGAGTTAATCGCACATTTTCCGGACACCCGGTATATAAAATTCGCTAATAACCGCTTCAGTAGTTTCGAAGATTATCGGTCTAATAGAAATCGATACAGACGACAGACAGACAGACAGACGAAAACGGGAAACCAATTTTTTCGCACTTCAGGGGTCGTGAAACCTCGAGAAAACTATTGTATTTTCAAGAATATTTTTTTTATAAAGTTGGTATTCAACAGATTAAGTTATAATTTTTAAACTTGTTACAGTTTCCTAGAATAACAAAATACTGTAAATTACTCGTATTCACGAAGGTTCGGATTACACAGCTTGGGGTTGTTTCATAATTATCTCGTCTAAGCTGTCAATTTGACGGAGCACAAGTTGCCCCTTTGCCAAAGCTGAACTTTTTTCTGACCATGGTTTTACCTTTTAAAACTCTGGAAATTTCAGTCAGGGACAGAATATCTCACTAGGGGTGCGATTTTGTTTCTTGATCGAAAAAAACTCGATAGCGATAAAATCTCGTTTGCTGATTGGTTGAGAGGCTGAGTTGGTGAGACATTTCTGTCACATTTCTCGATTCTGTCACGAAATCAAGTCTTCATGAAGTGAAATTTTCTCGATAGCTCTGAATGAAGTGATAAATTTTGGAGACATAAACTCGAAATTTATGTCAAAATAGAAGTTCAAAATTGTAATTCTGAGTTATAAGTTCTTAAAATTAAGGTAATTGTAAACTTTTGAGCATTTAATAAGCTTATATACAAAGAATCAAAATTGTGCATTTAAAAGGTGCGCAGTGACATTTATCGCAAGTGATAACGATAAAATCTCGTTTGCTGATTGGTTGAGATGCTACATTTCTGCCACATTTCTCGATTCTGTCACGAAATCAAGTCTTCATGGAGTGATATTGTTTCGATAACTCTGAGTGAAGTGATAAATTTTGGAGATATAACATGGACATAACCTCGAAATTTATGTCAAAATAGAAGTTCAGAATCGTAATTCTGAGTTACAAGTTCTTAAAATTAAGGTAATTGTAAACTTTTGAGCATTTAATAAGCTTATATGCAAAGAATAAATGCAAACTTTTTCATTTAAAAGCTACGCAATTACATTTATCACTTCGATCGAGAAACAAAATCGCATCCCAGGGGTGCGATTTTGTTTTTCGATCGAAAAAAACTCGATAGCGATAAAATCTCGTTTGCTGATTGGTTCAGATGCTACATTTCTGCCACATTTCTCGATTCTGTCACGAAATCAAGTCTTCATGGAGTGATATTTTCTCGATAACTCTGAGTGAAGTGATAAGTTTTGGAGACATAACCTCAAAATTTATGTCAAAATAGAAGTTCAAAATCGTTCTTGAAATTAAGGTAATTGTAAACTTTTGAGCATTTAGTAAGCCTATATTAAAATAATAAATGCAAACTTTTGCATTTAAAAGCTACACAATGACATTTATCGCAAGTGATAATTTATCACTTCGATGGAGAAACAAAATCCCACCCCAGAAGTATGTAGGTGTATGCCATATGAGAGTTCTAAATTGAAGCCTAAAATTTAGTTACTGTAAACATTTAAAATAGGGCTTTAGCGCAGGCTGTTCATGCGACTTTCACGGGATCGCGGTATCTGTTCTGTGCTTTGTAGAGTGTAACACAAAAGCTTACCAGTTTCCCTGAAATAACTTGTAACTTTACAAGACATTCCAAATAAGAATCTAATTTACACGTTTTGTGTGTTTTTGCGCTTATAGTATTTTTCCCATAAATAAAAACAATCCAACCATTACATTAATGTCAGATTTTCTATATCCAATATATATTTATATGAATTCCACATTCAGAATAGAGAGGTTAACCCTGTCCCGCGTAACTGCAGACAGTTTTAATGCAAAATTAATTAACATTCAAATACCTCGCGGTGATAATAAATCAAACGAACCATTATTCACAGCAACAAATAAATCAGCTAAGCGAAGCAAACAGCCGGCACTATTTCGACATTTTTGCGACCTGCACTTTTTATCGAACAGACATTTAGAAAAATTCCTCGGTTTTTAAACCGGAAATCTGCAATCAGCTCTCTCCGTACTTTCGACCAACCACCGTAATTTATTTCAAGCGAAAAATAAAATTATTGCTTATCTGTAATTATTTTGTGTCGGGAAGCTACGTTCCAATCGTTAATCGCTGTAAGTAGTTTCCCGCAGTTGCATCGTTTAATTGTAATTTATTGTATGCACAGGTGTTCCATCACAGAAACTTTATCCTTAAGTAATTTTTGAGTTATGACGTACGATTTTTCACTCTTTTGACGTTTGACAATAATAAGCGTATACAGGATGACTTATGAACACCTAAGCTTGAGACTATCACTAATGCATTTGGAAGATTAACGGACCAAAACAAAGTCCCATGTCAACTTTGAATGTAAGTTTGTAAAACGTCGCTATGATTTATTCTTAGTTGACATATAATCCGTGTTGGTTGCAAGAACACGGTCATACGTGTAGTCACGACGTGTTACTAGAGACGAAAAAAAAATGTGCTCTGCCATTTCATTTATATTAAGTGGGAAATTAAATTTGTGATACGAATCTAGAAAAATTATGGGACAACAAAAACGAGGATGGAAAGGATCTTTGGAAAAAATTTCTAGGGAACGTAAAATTTTGAACAAGTAGAGGAGTAGGGCAAGGAAAGATCATAAGTCCCCTACTATTTATTACAGTTAAGTACTATATATTAAAGGAAGTGAACAAGGAAGTAAAAGGTCTGCACCTGGAATACAGGAAATTAAAACCAACACACATAAAACAGCTTATATATGCAGATGAACTAATACTGTTTGCTAGCAATAAAATGAAATTGCCGGAAAGAATGTTAATAAAAATCGCATATTCAAGATGGAAGAGACGAAAAATTGACATAGTTGGGAACACCGACAATCACAAAAAAAATACAATGCATTTTCATTACTGCGTTTTATAGGTACATAAAATCCTTTGTATTTTTGATGGTTATGCACGGTAAACAATGCAATATGTCTAGCAAGCCATGCATGCATTGTTTCACTTGGCGCCATTTGCAACCGCGCCCTCTATCGGTGCACCATTGCATTTGGGCGCCGATTCCATCCACCCTGGAATTTCATAGAAATTCCGGTTCCGGCTCATAATAAGGGTTTTATTCTGAACGAAGCGCGGCCCCAGCAGTTAATAAATTTCATCCAAGTCGCAAGTTGCATTTCCATGGAAATATGATGATAGAATTACAAGAATAAAATTGAACTAGAAGTTCAATTGCACATAAAGTATACATCTCGCATAAGTAACTTAATCCATTTTATTAAGAGCATGTGAATAGGCACTTAAAGAGAAAAGGTTAACAGAAAAATGACACATTCATGAATAATCATGTTTCATGGCTACTTGAGGTCACGAAATGCATAATTACGCATATATAGGGTGTAGCTTTACAGACTTTAATGAATAGCTATAAATCATTGTTTCATGGTGGTCACCGATTCAAAGTCGCAATTTTTTCTATTAAATGAGACGAGTTTCTGGATGACACACAAAGCGGTTAGATCAGATGACACGGGTTTTATGATTCTCGCTATTAAGTGTCTGATTTACCGGACTATACCGTAAAACTGGGTACACGCCAGCAGTGCGCATGATCGATTGCCCGGATGCTCACTCGTTGTGAGGTTATGTCTCGCAACATCGATTCGAATCGGTTTAATTAGATTAAAAACGTCACCAATTTGTTACAGATAGAGAAAGCATCCGTTTCATTCCGCTCACGCTGATTCTCTTTCATTATTTAATTGTGTGGGCCACGGTCACCGGCCTCTAAACTGTACATTTAGTGTGGCGAACATTTTCCAAATCAGCCTTAAATCCTGCAAGAACTAATAAACATACAAAAGGCTAATTTCTCGACTGCGATTTCATAAATAATCCTCTTGTAGCGTTTTTGTTTGTTTGAGTTTTACAGCAGGTTGTTTAAGTAGATTTGGCGAAAATGTTCGGTATAATTCTAATCGTTTTCGATTTTTTCAGCAAAAAATCAAGTTCTGGTTCGCCACAGGCGGCGCCGGTTTCTGTCTTAGTCGGGCGTTGGCCTTGAAGATGATGCCGGTAGCCAGGTGAGTCCTTAGACAATTAACCATAATTCCGGGATGTCGTGGAACACATTATGTGGAGGTTAATCAAACGTGACACCGAAGCGTTACTCCAACTCGGTAAAGCGACACTAATTGCCAGGCGGGAGGAATTTACATAGCCATAAACAATATCGCGTTTACCAAAGAGGCGCTACGTAGATTGTTATAGAAAATAACTGGGAGAAGGAATTTGTGGAAGTGACAGGCGTTTGTGCAAGAGGAATTTGATCGGAGTTGTATGGCGTTTCTAATTTTGATTTTGTTGTTTTGTGATGAAGAATGGTCGGTATGTGACCCTTCTATGCATTTATATAACAGTTCAGAACTTTTTCTCAAAATTTAGGGCGATGGCCAGAAGTTAAGGTTTTATTATAAAACGAGGGCTAACATCATTAAAAAAACATTAAAGTTAATACACTTACCCAAAGTACAAAACTTGGTAATTACATAATTAGACAAATTATGCTTGAGAGCTGCTGTTAACAGCAACCTCAAGATCTAACTAGCACGTGAAAGGAATGAAACATGATTAAAAAACGTAAATTAAAGACGTGTAACCAGTATTCTATAATTAAAAACGTTATTGGCGCCATCTGTCAAATATTCTACAAATAAAAATATAAGTAGGGCCATCTATCTAGGATTCTAGAAAAAGTTTTTTCGACAGGAGTTCCCTCGCTTCTGAAGTACAAAATTATAAAGTTTTATTTTGCAGAATTTTAGTTTTTCGTGATAACCTCTATGGAATAAAAACAATTTAGAAGCTGTAATAGAAAAAAGAAGGTTTCACCTTTAAAAAAAATACAGTTGGGAGCCCAGAAAAGATTTAATATTAAAAAAAGACATATGGGGCCCTCGAGAAGATTTCACCTTGTTTAAAAAACGACAGTTGGTACCCCCGAGAAGGTTTCACTTTCTCAAAAAAAGATATTTGCGGCCCCCGAGAAGGTTTCACATTCTTAAGAAAAGACATTTCGCGCCCCAGAGAAGGTTTTACATTCTTAAAAAGGACATTTGGGACCACCGAGAAGGTAGTACATTTTTAAAAAACACAGTTGGGACCTTTGAGAAGGTTTCACATTTAAAAAAAAACCCTTTGGCACCCCCGAGAAGGTTTTACATTTAAAAAAAATACAATTGAGACCCCCGAGAAGGTTTCACATTCTTAAAAAATACATTTGGTACCCTCGAGAAGGTTTTACATTTTTTAAAATGACAATTGGGCGCCCCGGGAAGGTTTCACATTGTTAAAAAAAGAGACATTTGGGGCCCACGAGAAGGTTTTACATTTTTAAAAAAAGACATTTGAGACCCTCGAGAAGGTTTTAAATTTTTTAAAATGACATTTAGGCGCCCCGGGAAGGTTTCACATTCTTAAAAAAAAGCGAGATTTGGGGCCCCCGAGAAGGTTTTACATTTTTAAAAAAGACAGTTGGGACCCCCGAGAAGGTTTCACAGTCTAAAAAACCCTTTTTTCGCCGCCGAGAAGGTTTTACAATTAAAAAAAAAGACAATTGAGATCCTCGAGAAGGTTTTACATTTTTTAAAATGACAGTTAGGCGCCCCGGGAAGGTTTCACATTCTTAAAAAAAGAGACATTTGGGGCCCCCGAGAAGGTTTTACATTCTTAAAAAGGACATTTGAGACCCCCGAGAAGGTAGTACATTTTTAAAAAACATAGTTGGGACCCCCGAGAAGGATTCACATTCTAAAAAAACCCTTTGGCGCCCCCGAGAAGGTTTTACATTTAAAAAAAAAAAATACAATTGAGACCCGCGAGAAGGTTTCACATTCTTAAAAAATACATTTGGTACCCCCGAGAAGGTTTTACATTTTTTAAAATGACAGTTGGGCGCCCCGGGAAGGTTTCACATTCTTAAAAAAAGAGACATTTGGGGCCCCGAGAAGGTTTTACATTTTTAAAAAAGACAGTTTTAACCCCCGAGAAGTTTCTAAAAATACCCTTTTGGCGCCGCCAGGAAGGTTTTACATTCTTAAAAAGGACATTTGGGACCACCGAGAAGGCAGAACATTTTTAAAAAACACAGTTGGGACCCCCGAGAAGGTTTCACATTCTTAAAAAATACATTTGGTACCCCCGAGAAGGTTTTACATTTTTAAAAAAGCCAGTTTTGACCCCCGAGAAGGTTTCAAATTCTAAAAAACCGTTTTGGCGCCCCCGAGAAGGTTTTACATTTTTAAAAAAAGACAATTGAGAGCTTCGGAAGGTTTAAAATTTTTTAAAATGACAGGCGCCCTGGGAAGGTTTCACATTCTTAAAAAAAAGAGGCATTTGGGGCCCCCGAGAAGGTTTTACATTTTTAAAAAAAGACAATTGAGAGCCTCGAGAAGGTTTAAAATTTTTTAAAATGACAGGTGCCCTGGGAAGGTTTCACATTCTTAAAAAAAAGAGACATTTGGGACCCACGAGAAGGTTTCACATTCTAAAAAACCCTTTTTTCGCCCCCGGGAAGATTTTACACTTTTAAAAAATGACAATTGAGATCCTCGAGAAGGTTTTACATTTTTTAAAATGACAGGCGCCCCGGGAAGGTTTCACATTCTTAAAAAAAGAGACATTTGGGGTCCCTGAGAAGGTTTTACATTTTTAAAAAAGACAGTTCGGACCGCCGAGAAGGTTTTACTTACATTCTAGAAAAAAAAAACATTTGGCGCCCCCCGAGAAGCTTTTACATTAAAAAAGAACAATTTGGAGCCCCGAGAAGGTTTTAGATTAAAAAAAAAGACATTTGGCGTCCTCGAGAAAGATTTACATTTTTAAATAATACATTTGGGGCTCCCGAGAAAGTTTTACATTTAAAAAATATTTGGTACCCCCGAGAAGGTTTAACATTTATAAAAAAAAGACATTTGGGACCCCCGACAAGGTTTCACATTCTTAAAAAATACGTTTGGGGCCCCCGAGGAGGTTTTACATTTTTAAAAAAGACAGTTGGGAGCCCCGAGAAGGTTTCAGATTAAATAAAAAAGACATTGGTTGCCCTCGAGAAGGTTTACATTAAAAAAAAAAACAGTTGGGACCCCCGAGAAGGTTTCACATTCTAAGAAAACCATTTGGCGCCCCCTAGAAGGTTTTACATTTTTAAAAAAGACTATTGGGACCCCCGAGAAGGTTGCACATTCTTAAAAAAATAAATTTGGCGCCCCCGAGTTTTACATTTTTAAAAAAGACAGTTGGGAGCATCGAGAAGGTTTTACATTAAAAAAAAAAAAAACAATTGGGGCCCCCGAGAAGGTTTTACATTTTTAAAAAAGACAGTTGGGACTCTCGAGAAGGTTTTATATTTAAAAAAATATATTTTGGGGCTCCCCAGAAGGTTTTACATAAAAAAAAAGATTTGGTGACCCCAAGAAGGTTTTACATGTATAAAAAAGACATTTGAACTCCCGACAAGCTTTCACATTCTTAAAAAATACATTTGGGGCCCCCGAGGAGCTTTTACATGTTTAAAAAAGACAGTTGGGGGTCCTGAGAAGGTTTTACATAAAAAAAAAACATTTGGTGACCCCGAGAAGGTTTTACATTCATAAAAAAGATATTTGAAACCCCCGACAAGGTTTCACATTCTAAAAAAAAACATTTGGCGCCCCCGAGAAGGTTTTACATAAAAAAAAACCAATTGGGTGCCCCGAGAAGGTTTCACATTAAAAAAAAAAACATTTTGCGTCCTCGAGGAGACTTTACATTTTTAAAAAGAGAGAGGCGTATTCTCACCTTTTCGAGAAAGTGAGGTAATTTCATCAATAAAAAATTTGTTGTGATGTCAAAAATGGATAACACACAATGTGAGAGAAAAAGATTAAAAAAAAAACAAAAAAAAAAAAACGAAAGGCCAAATTTGGAATCGAACACGCGACGTCCGGTCCGCATACCTAACTCGTAACCACTAGACAACCACCGGAATGCCTTACACTAATGGTAAACTGATATTATACCGTGCATTATGTTTTTGCATTAAATTAATAATTAACAATAATTTTGTTGTATAACAGTTAATTCAAATAAATATAGATTTCTTTCAAAAGACGTCATCAAATTGTTGGTGAGGATGATTAGCAATATTTTGGTTAGCATTTAACCATTTACATGATATTTCTAATATACCTTTATACTTACAAAATTTGACAACAATCGGTGCAGCATTTTCTGAGATTACGTGTCTAATAAAAATGGATACAGACATTAGACAGACAAACAGACAGACAGACGGATGGGCGGACGGAAACTGGAGACTACTTTTTTCGTACTCTACAGGTAATGAAACGTCGCGAAAATATAAAAGCTTACGCTCGGGAAGTAAAAATGTATAAAGTTATTAAAAAATTATAATGCAATTGCCTTTGTCAATTTTTGATACCACCAGATTCTCATTTTTTATTTTGGCGTGTAAAAACTTTATTGATCGGAGTTCAACTTTTGAGTTATTATTATCACCATTAATGATTTTATAGTTTATTAGATATTTAAGTGAGTTTTGTAGGACAGAATTTATATAGATTATAGCGTTTTTTTCTCTTTGTTTATCAGTAGCCGCAACAAGGGTAAACGACAATTTTAACCAACTTCGAGATAATGGCAGAGATAATTATCGACTTTGCATAATTGATGTTGTTTCATCTGAAACTTCGGCTACAGGTTTCAGTTTTCCCAAAGTATAACTTACGTCCTACAAACACTCAACACAATTGACAAGTAATCAAATCAGATTCGTTTATCTGCGACCTTCTTGTACTAACAGTATATTATTTCTTGGCACGCTGAAAATAAAACACGAGAACGTGAAGCTCAGTTTCCGTCTGTTCTGTTTGCTTTAAAATTATCGAGTAGGTGGTAAAGCGCCAACCAGAATTTATCCACTTACAGCTTCCAAAAAATTGGTGACGTCTTTTGTACACTGTAAACACTCAACTCATCATGCTTTAGCGATTTAGCAATATAGTTCTGCTTTAATGTTACGTGT